CTACGTGTATGAAAGTTTTTCGCAGAAACTTTTTACGCGGGAAAGAAATAGGAGTCATTCCAGTGGGTGGATACAGATATAGAGATAATCACTCGCACAAAGCCGTGCAGTGGTCGGTGTGGAGCGTGAGCTCAATCAACGGATAAGCCACGCGGGGCGAGGGCGCGAATTTCGAATTGCCGGTTCGCCCGTCGATGGATATTACAAAACTGATTTGGAGAACGAGACGCAACGTTACGTGTTACAATTTCACGGATGCTTTTGGCATGGGTGTCCATCATGCTTCCGAATAAATCGTGAGAGAAAACTCAGTTCTTCCACCGATCATGGCGATACGATCGACGCGCGCTACGAGCGAACTCTCGCGGCGGCATGGTCGTCTTCGACGACGGGGATACCTGGTGATGGAGAAATGGGAGTGCGATTTCGACCGAGAAATACGTGAGAATAATGAGATGCGTGATTTTCTTGAAAATGCTCAGATAATAAAGAACTCGCCTCTCGATCCGCGCGACGCATTTTTCGGTGGCCGAACGGGGAATATAGCAACCCGATGCGATGTTGCGGGAACGGAGAAAATACGCTACATAGACGTATGCTCTCTGTATCCCTATGTACTGAAAACGGGTGCTTTTCTGATCGGTCACCCAAAGATCTACATCGGAGAGGAATGTCCCGAGTTAATCGGCGTATTTCCGGATTTCGATTTCAACTCACTCGAAGGACTCATTCGTTGTAAAGTACTCCCTCCGCGCGATCTCTTTCATCCGGTACTCCCGTATCGCGTACGCGGCAAATTGTTGTTCGCGCTGTGCCGGAGTTGCTGCGAAACGTTCTCGCAAGCTGAGTGTACTCACAGTCTCGCCGAGCGTGAATTCGAGGGTACCTGGGTATCCTGTGAATTACGCAAAGCCGTCGAGAAAGGTTATCGCGTGTCGGAAGTGAGAGAAATTTGGCAATACAAGGTCACGCGATATGATCCCGATACGCGGCAGGGTGGATTGTTTACCGGATATATCAATAGTTTTTTGCAATTGAAGCAGGAAGCTAGCGGATGGCCGA